GGGATGGCTCAGTGGTTTAAGAGCACTGGCTGCTCTTGCAAAGAATTTGAGTTCAGTTCCCAGCACCAACATGGAAGTTTATAAACCTCTGTAACTATACTTCTAGGGAACTTCACACCCTCTTCTAGGCTCCAAAACACCAGGCATGCATGTGGTATACATATATACTTGTAGGCAAATACGTAAAATAAAAATTTTAAGAGAACTCTGTTATCTCTGGACTTTCTTCCAAGTCCCTGTCATTCATTTGTAAAGTTTGATTGCTTTTTTGTTTTGGGTTTATTTTTTTGTTTGTTTTTGTTTTTTGAGACAGGGTTTCTCTGTGTAACAGTCCTGGCTGTCCTAGAACCGTAGACCAGTCTGACCTCGGACTTACTGAGATCCATCTGCTTCTGCCTCGAAAATGATGGAATTAAAAGGGTGCGTTACCACTGCCTGACTCATTTGTAAGTTTTGATACTGACACTTTTTTGCTTTATGTATAAATAAAAGAAATTTATATGTGGTGCATGTATGTCTCAGCTGTAGATGGAGGTCAGAGGAAAACTTGCAAGAGGCAGCTCTGTTCCTCCACCATGGGGGTTTCCGGGTTAGAACTCAGGTACCAGACCTGCTATGCAGTCTGGGCAGCCTCAATTATTCCTTCATATATCAAAACATAACATAGGGTGGGGCTTGTATGTCTCTCTCTCTCTCTTCCTCTCTCTCTCTCTCTCTCTCTCTCTCTCTCTCTCTCTCTCTCTCTCTCTCTCTCTCTCTCTCTCTCTCTCTCTCTCTGTCTGTCTCTCTCTGTTTAGGACTTTGGGTTAGATCTCCAGCACCACAAACAAAAATAAAACCCTGTAATATAGCTACATATGTTTGTGAAGATTTTCTTTTCTTGGGCCTCTCTGTCTCTGTCTCTCTGTCTCTTGTCTCTGTCATCTTTTGAGACAAGGTTTCTCTTTGTAACAGCCTTGACTGTCCTGGAACTTGCTCTGTAGTCCAGGCTAGCCTTGAACTCACAGAGATCTATCTGCCTTTGCCTCTGCCTCACCACCAACCAGGTTTTCTTAAAATCTCTTTTCCTTTGCAAATAATATTCCTGCAGGTTGATGGTGGTTCATGCCTTTAACCCCAGCACATGGAAGGCAGAGGCAGATAGAGAAAACCTGTCTCAAAAAACAAAACAAACAACAAAAACAACCAAAGACCAAAAGCAATATTCCTAAAAATACTGTATTGGTGAGTACAGTTGAGGTTTTCATGGTTCAGAATGTAATTGAAATCTTTTTTTTTTCTGTTAGTTTTTATTATTTGAGTCAGGTTCTTAACTCTGGCTTGGCTTGGAACTTACTGTGTAGTCCAGAATGGCCTCAGACTTGCACTAATCCCCCAGTTTTAGCCTCCCGAGTGCTAGGATAAGAGGCCTGAACCATTACACCTGACTTAAGAACATTCTGTTGGAGCTTTAGATTTGGACTAGGCATCTGTACTGAGCCCAAGAGACCAAACCAATACACAGTGTAACAGAGGAAGCAGCTTTGGCTGGTTATCAAATGTCCCGTATCCAATGAGCTAATAAAGCTGTGAACAATTTGCTAGTTCAGCTACACTGTATTGCTGCTACAGCTAATTACTAGTTGATTGACTAAGTTGTATCCTGCTAAATTGTTTTCTAGTTCACAACTATGATTTTCTGAAAATGCTGTTTGATTGCATTGTGAGCCCAAATTCTCAGAACCTGCTTAGTTGGGTTCTGGAAGCCAGTCAATTCTGGAGTGACATTAATTTAGTGTAAAGAAGTTTTCATTTTATTTTTTGGTACTGGGGTATGACACAGGTCCTCTAGCAAGCTAGCACAGTTCCTAATGCCTTTTTCTGGTTTTGACCTCTGCAGTTATCAGGCCCATACACATGAAATAAAGTAAATCTATTAAAAAAAAAATGTACGGGCTGGAGAGATGGCTCAGAGGTTTAAAAGCAACTGAGATCCTGAGTTCAATTCCAGGCAACCACATGGTGACTCACAACCACCTGCGATGAGATCTGGTGCCCTCTTCTGGTGTGCAAGTGTACATGCAGGCAGAATACTGTATAAGTAATGAATAAATAAAAACCTTTAAAAAAATTTACAAAATGTGTGAGTCCTGGAAGAAATTATTTCAGAATGTGATAGTTTCAATGAATTTGACCTGCATAAGCTAATAGGGAGTAGCACTATTAGGTGTGTCCTTGGAGTATCTATAGTCTTGTTGGAGGAAGTGTCACTGTTGGGGTGGGCTTTGAGGTTTCCTATGCTCAAGCTATGCTCAGTAGAGAGACAGTTCACTTCCTGTTGCCTGTGGATTATGATGTAGAACTCTCAGCTCCTCCTCCAGCATCTTTTATGCCTGTGTACCACCATGTCCTATCATGGTGATAATGGACTAAGCATCTGAAACTGTAAGCCAGTAACAATTAAGTGTTTTCATTATAAGAGTTGTTGTGTCTCTTCACAGCAATAGAAACCCCAACTAAGACACAGAGGAAAGACAAAATATAATGAGCAGAAAAGAAGGAACAAAACCCAGGAACTGAGGAGGCACAAGAGCGTGTGAAGGAACTAAATGCTTTGGCTGGGGGTAAAGGAAGACTTTTTTTTTTTTTTTTTTTTGGTTTTGGTTCGTTTGTTTGCTTGTTTTTGGCTTCTCTGTGTATTCCTGGCTGTCTGGGAACTCAGTGTGTAGCCAGGCTGGGCTTGGACTCACAGAGATCTGCTTGGCTCTGACTCTCAAGTGCTGGGATTGAAGGTGTGCATCACTACTGCCTGGCTGAGGAAGACTTTTTACTTTTGATTTTTTTCTGCAGTTGAAGGACAGTCATTAAAACTGACACAAAGTACTTTTTTTTTTGGTTTTTCGAGACAGGGTTTCTCTATTGTTTTTTGGAGGCTGTCCTGGAATTAGCTCTGTAGACCAGGCTGGTCTCGAACTCACAGAGATCCGCCTGCCTCTGCCTCCTGAGTGCTGGGATTAAAGGCGTGTGCCACCAATGCCCGGCTGACACAAAGTACTATTAACATGTCTTCTAGAAATGTCTGACTAATGGATTCTTGCTCCCCACAACACTGATTTTTAGGTGTGGGTTCAATTAACCGGTTTAATTCACTACTTGGTGTGAGTTCAATTAACCCAGGTAGGTCTGATGATGATAACTGAGAACCTTGTTCAGGTCAAATTTTAAGGCATTGTCTAGTTGAATACATGTTTCATCACTCCATAACTCTGACTTATGTTATTGGTTTCCAGGTCTTGGTTTATTTTATTTGATGTGTATGGGTGTTTTGTCTCCATGTATGTCTGTGTACTATGTGTGCAACTGGTGCCCTAGGAGGCCAGAAGAGGATATTGTATCCCCTAGGGCTGGAGTCAAAGACATTGTAAGCTGCAATGTGGGTGCTGAGAATTGAACTCAGGTCCTTCCTCAGAAAAAGCAGCCAGTTCTAACCACTGAGCCATCTCTCTAGTCAGAAGAAGGAAGCTGGAACCAGAATTATTGGCAGTTGTGAGCTACCTTGTGAGTGCTAAGAACCAAGCCTCTGCAAGAGCAGCTAGTGTTCCTAACCACTGAGTCATCTCTATAGGTCTGTGTTTCGGGTTCTGACAGGGTCTCATGTATTATAGGCTGGATTGAACTCACTTCCCTATATAGATGAAGATGACTTCAAACTTTTGACTGTCCTGTCTGTCCCTTCCTCATACTGGTATTATAGATGTGTGTCCTTATACCACAAGTTTGTTTGGTGCTGGGATTAAACCCAGGTTTTATGGGTGTAGGCAAGCACTCTACCAACTGAGCTACATCCCTAGCCCTCTAGCCTTCTTACAGTAGACTGGGCTTGAAATGGAAGACTTAGACTTGTACTGACCAATGCAACACTCTTCAACTACATGATTGGTACATGATCTAGATAGTAACACCTTTACTTGTCCCAAAGATATGGTCACTCTGAGCTGGTGCTAAGTTTTTTAGATACTTTGATAAAGCAGTGACAAGTGGTGTTGGTCAAACAGGCGTTCACACAGACTTCAAAGCATTTACAAGAATTTTTAAATTATGGTTTGCATGAGGGCACTGCTGGAGCAACACCGGTGTTACTGGGTTCAGGCTGCCAATGTGAACAGTGGCTATAGTGTGATTTTGGTAACGAACATCTGGGTTCTAATTCTTACTAGGTATTTTGTAGTTGCTAGCTAAATACTTTCCCTTTCTAAGTTTAAAATCCATTTATCAACTGCATAGGCTATGTCAGGGATGTAGAGGAGCCATAGAAAACGTTCCTGTAAGCTGAAAGATCTTCCAAAAATCAGGTGCGGGAATAGCATACTCCTGAATTCTATCTGCAGCACCAAACATGACAAAGACTTAAGAAATTTATAATACTTTGGATGGTCTTTCTTGCAAAAGTTGTATCCATTTCCAAGTTTTTTTTTGTTTTTTTTTTTTTTTGAGACAAGGTCTCATTGTGTAGCCCTGAAACAGGCTACATATATCAGATCCACTTGTCTACTTGTCTCTGTCTCCTCACTTGTGCTGGGAATTAAAAAGGAGACAAACCAACCAAGGCGTTTTCTGAGCTCTGTGCCTAGACAGTGCTACTATTTTACCAACAACCACAGCTTGGCAAGGCAACGTGCGGTGAAGTTCGGGTTTCACCTCTGCTGATGCCCGCTGTTCAGAAGTCCACCTGGTCTCTCCACTTGGACTCCAAGCTGAGAACATCAAGTACTGGCCAGTTTACACAGCCCGGAGGCGCTGTAGTGCCCCAGTAACGAGTTACCTCCTGCGCGGGTACACGCGGTAGGACGCAAGCGCCCATTGGCTCGTTTTGTTCCCTTCTCCCGCCCCATCCCATTGCTGTCCAATGATCGTCTCCAGCTCCGCCTATCCACCCACCCGGTCCGTCTGCCCTGCCCCCTGGCGTCTAGGCTTCTGGGCCGAGATGGCGGCGGTGCGCGTGCGCGCTGGCTCACAGCTTCCCGGGAGGAGGAGCGAGCGGCCACTAGGGAGGCAGCGCCTCGGCTCTCCGGGCAAGGGCGGCGGCAGCGGTGCTGGGCGGGGACGGGCTCGGGGCTAGCGGTGCGGCTGCAGGGGCTGTGCGAAGCACTGCTGGGCTGCGAGGCGCTCGGGCCCGCGGAGAGGCCGTGCGCGCTGAGCCGATCTCCACCGCCACCGCGCTGCTCGCCCTGGGTGACGTCGTGCCGGGGTCCCCAGCATGACCGAGCTACGGCAGAGAGCTGTCCGCGAGGACGCACCGCCGGAGGACAAGGTAGAGGCGTCGTTGAGTGCGGGAGGGGGGAGCGTGGGGGAGACGCGCCGACAGCCTCGCCCTCTGACCTTTGTCGCGACCCTCGGCACCAGGCCTGAGCTGCGCAGAGGGTCGGCGAGCGTCCTCCGCTCGTGGGGACAGCCGCCTGCGGGCGCGGGGGGGTTAGCGCGTGAGCTCTGGCGGTGGGGTGTCGGGGGGTGTCTAGGCCTTCCTGGTGTGGAGACTGGACACCCCACAGACTCGGTGAGTGCGATGTAGCCTCACCACTCGCTTTAAAAATGCTGCTGTTAAATGGGGAGCGGGGAGACTCAGGCCATAGCATTTGTCCCCTGGGAGATTAAAATCCTTTCTTGAACTTGATTAAAACATTAAATTTGTTGGGTTTTGTCAGGGAGGCATCTTGATTCAGGCGGTGTGCCGTCCGGTTAATGAGCAGGTGTGTGCTCCCAATGGTGGTTTTGTTTACTGCGCCAAGTGTGGGCTTTGGTGGGGTAAAGGAGGAAGGTAAGGAGGAGGCCATTTTGGCAGGGACACAACCAATGTGGGGGGCGCTCCTTTGATTGAAAGTGCAAGGTTTGTGTGGAGAAATTGAAAGGTGCTACTGTGGATGTTGCATGACAGCATTTGCGCTTCTCGTCTTCGCAGTGGTCAGACTTAGTGACGTGCGGACAGACTGAGGGATCCTGGACCAGAGTGATGGAGACTGGTCAACTCAGGGATAGCCTGCTGATGACCTGCTGATGCTTTTTTAGGGCCACAAGCTGATAACAGAAATAAAGGTTCTTCTGATGGTTTCTAGCCTGTCTTCAGTATTGGAGCATCTTCCTCGTTTCCTCTGATTAATAGCAGACAGAGTTTAGTATCTTTTTGTTTGAGACAGGGTTTCTGTGTGTAACTCTGGTGCCCTAGAACTTGGCCTCGAACCCAGAGATCCGCCTGCCACCGCCTCCCGAATGCTGGGATGAAAGGTGTGGGACACCGTCACCCTTTTCCCCATTCCTCTTTTTTTTTTTTTTTAATAGCAAGCCTACAGCACCCACTTTTGTCCTCTGAACTTTTGTTTGGTTTTGGACAGAATCTCTCTATGAAGCCCTGCTAGCAGGCTTGGACGCCATCCCTCTCTGCCTACCCTGTGCTAGAGCTAAAGGCATGAGCCCCTCAGCAAGCTTGTATCTTTTAACTGTGTTTCAATTGGTTAGAGGGAACATCAGGGAGGAAAAGCTTTGACAGCATGCCAACTTACAGTAATTTTACTAGGAAGAATGTTCTAGATGAAAGATAGAGAGAGCTTAAATAACTTTGTTTCTACTCTAGACAGTGGATCATCAGAGGAGAACTCTATCCCTTTGGAGAAAGTTTAGGGCTGAGGTCCAGATTTAGGAGTATCTTGCAAAGACAGTACAGTATGGTGGATTGGCCCTGAAGAATGCTGTATTCACCCTGGATACTTGTTGGTGAGTTTGAAGGTTGCACTGTGGGTGACCCTGTCTAGTTAAGTGTGACTGCATACTTAAAGTTACTCGACCAAGGAGGTGGGGGAAGAAAGAAGGCCTAGAGGAGTGAGTGTTGTGGTACACAAGTTGGTCCCAGTGTTCCAACAAAGGCAGAGTCTGAGCAAGTTCTGGGACAGCCAGGGTTACATAGAGAAACCTTGTTTTTAAAAGCCTGATGGTGGAACACACACACACACACACACACACACACACACACACACACACACACACACACACAGAAAGTTAGCTTTAATGACCAGATAAGACAAAACAAGTGTAATGTTAGTAGGTGAAGCCCTTTTTACACTCCCCACCCAGCTTTTTGGCTCCATTCCCCAAACAAAGTGTCAGTTGATTCTTCCGTTCACATCCATATTTTATATAGAGAAGATATGAGGAGCTGTCCAGCCTTAGTAATTACAAGAGCATTTAAACCACGTGTGCAGTTAAAGAGGCTTGTGGTTGTGAGGTCTGCTAGGTGAATGTTCCCTAAAATACAGCAGTTACACATGATGCTTAAAAGATTATTGTAGGCAATTAGCTCATGCAGGGTAATGATTACTTATTATTGCCATGTATGGGATTTTGGTAAAATAAAAATATAAAAAATGAGTAAAAATTTATTGTAATAAAATAAAACTGGGATTTAAGAAATAGAAATCAAAAAGTACATTTAGGAAACAGTGATATGCATTATTTTCTTTTGATGAATATATGTAGTAAAATTGTTTGTGTGTGTGTGTGTGTGTGTGTGTGTGTGTGTGTGTGTGTTTTGAGACATGGTTTCTCTGTGTTAACAGGCTGTCCTGGAACTCGCTTTGTAGACCAGGCTCAAACTCACAGAGATCCACCTGCCTCTACCTTCTGAGTGCTGGGATTAAAGGGATGCACCACCACTGCCTGGCTAAAAAAAAAAATTAATAAAAAATGTTTGTTTTTATTTATGTTTCTGTGCCTTTTAAGGGAAATGAATTGTGGAATTTGAACTCTGTTACTTCATAGTACAAGAATCCAAACAACAGTTTTCAGGTCAATTCTTTAAAGAACAATTTAGAAAGGTTCCTCAAAATGTTACAGTTGCTAAACTGAGTTTGTAAAACTGTCTTGTTAATAGACAATCATCACTATCAAAATAATCTGGAGAATGTGTTTATAAAGGTCAGGAGGTTTTCGTTATATTTAGCATCCTAGAATGGTGTTCTCAAAGCCGGTTGCTAATAAAGGAAATGTTTTCTGGGATCTAGAGTCCCAAAGCAGTTGCCAAACTAAGACCCTTGGAAGTTAGGTGTTAGCACAGACCCATGCTGCCTGGCCATGTTTTCTCAGCACAGATTAGGAAGCAGAAGGATGAAACCTGAACCAAAATACTAAAAGTGACTGGTTTGGCATTTCAGGAGACTTTTGTTATGAACTTAAATGGGAGGTTTTGGGTTTTCTGCTTTACTTTGATGCTGAAATGGTGTGAAAATTTCAGCTTTAGTTGTTTCAAAGGCTTCTATTCTAGATGGGTAAAGTTAGTGTAGATAGGCAGCAAGTTGTCTGTCTGTCTGTCTATCTATCTATCTATCTATCTATCTATCTATCTATCTATCTATCTATCTTGAAACAGGATCTTGTGTTCCCTACTGGTACCCAGGTTGGTCTCAGACATGCTTCTGTCTAGCAAAGGCTGGTCTTGAATTGGAAATCCTTCTGTGTCTGTCTTCCCAGGGCTGGTATTACAGGTGTATGCCACACCTGGCTAGAAGGGAGAATTCAAGTTTTAACTGCAGGTAATCTACCTTGTGCCTGGACTCTGCCACTTGTCATTTCTACACGTCAGTTTGTCAAACCCGGATTATACAGGTGGTGAAATTGTATATGCTTCCAGTAATTTGATTGGATTCAATGTGTACATAGGGCATTAAGAACATGTCAGCTACTGCTGCTGCTGGTTAAAATAGACTTTTATAGGATTTAAATTATTATTTTATCTTGGCATGTGTTTAAACCTTCAAGTTATAAGTAGAATAACCAATGGCCTTCTGTGACCTGTTTTGAGTTCATTTTCTTGATGAATTTTACAGTGCTCAGACAACACACTTTAATTGTAGAAGGAACACTAGGGGTTAGTATGGACAGTCTTCATCTCCTTGGTACCAGGGAAAGTGGAACCTAGGGCTTCAAGCCTATTAGGCAAATGCTCTACCACTGAGCCATACCTCCAGTCCTCTTATTTTCTCTTTTGTCAGAGAGTGTCATTAAGTTGACTAGGTTGGCTTTGAAGCTGAGTTCTTCCTGCTTCAGCATCCTGAGAATAGATAGGCATAGGCTACAGGCTTGTGCCACCAGGTCTGGACTTTGGCTATCTTCTTCCATAGCATTAGTTATAATATACTTGAAGACATTCCTGAATAATGTATATGGTTTTCTGGTAGATTTTGAGAGTGAACTACTGAAATCTTGTTGTAAGAACTATAAGTTTTCAGAAGCAAAATTATGTTAATATTTATTTTTGTAATTAACAAAGATTTTTATATGTATCAGTGTTTTGTCTGCATGTATGTATGCATACACAATGTGTGCCCACCGAGTCAGAAGAGAGCATCAGATCCCCTGGAACTGGAATTATTGATGATTGTGAGCAGCCATGTGGGTGCTATGAAATGGGCCCCGGTCCTCTGGAAGAGCAGCAAGTGCTGTTAACCATTGAACCATCTCCCCAGCCTATGTATTATATCTTTTTAAAAAAGCTTTTATATGAGTGATGGGGGAATTGAAAAACCACAACATAACCACGCTTCTATGTAGGGAAATGAGGGAAAAGGTAGGTTTGTCATACACTTAGCATTTTAGGTCTCTTAAAATTTTATTATTTTTTTGTGTGTGTATGTATGTATGTATGTATGTATGTATTTTTAACTGTGTGAGGTGTGCATTGGCAACTGGAGGTCAGAGGAGGACTTGAAGGAACAGGTTCTTCTGCCTGTAGGACCCTGGAGATTGTACTCAGGTCATTTGTTGAGTTGACAGTAAACACCTTTACCCATTGAACCATCTTGCTAGTATTTATGTTGGTAAACTATTGTTTTATTTTAAAGACTCAGCTACTTCCCAATTTATGACTGCTTGAAAACCATTTTTCCCACAAAGCTAATTTACTCAAAATACCTTGCATGCACTTATTTCTTTAAGTAACATAGCTAGTTAGATGTAGAGGGGTTGATAGTGTGAAGTCATTTTAAGTTTTTCTCTTGTGTTGCACAACGCTGCCTTTAAGGATATAGGGTTAATGCATTAGTTTACAGTCTTTAGGAGTTCCTATATTGATGTTTTGGTTTAAAAATAACCTAAATTTTGTCTAGTTTTCTTTATTTCTTAATAAAAGATTTATTTATTTTGCATACAGTGTTCTGCCTGTATGTGTTCCTGCAGGTCAGAAGGGGGCACCAGATCTCATTACAGATGGTTGTGAGTCACTATGTGGTTGCTGGGAATTGAACTCAGGACCTCTGGAAGAGCAACTGG